CTACCTGTACCTTCTGTGCTTCATCCCTTTCCAGAGGACACAATCTTGTGCTGCTGTAGGAGGCTTGTGGGCTACTGTCTGTATCTTAGCTGCCTCTGCTAACTTTGCTGCCTATGCAAAGTGGTCCTCATTGGCCATCTTCCTCTGACCTTAAGCCAAGGCCTAGTTTTTTGCTCTGAGCCTATTGTATAGAGCCTGAGAAAACCCCACTGCTTGTTACTGGCTCCATTATAGCTTTATGATTCCAGCAATAGTTGGGTACCTAACCTTATGAGCCTAAATGGTTAGACTACAATCCTCAGTCTGTTTAGGAAATGTCTCAAGCCCTTACCATGTTAATACTTCAATTATTATTAGGATTAACTGCTTCTTATTAAATCAGCATTGATTTTCCCGCAAAGGGTGGGGGGATAACAAATGAATTATGGAGAGAGAAGGGAGAAGAAAAGGAAAGAGGAAGAGGGGAGAGGCATACTGACTGCAAATATTTTCTAGATTCCTGTTTCCCAGAAGCTATGTAATAATTCATATGATAGCCATATAACACTATGTAATTTTGTTTTAAGTATGTTAACATCACGTGTTTAAGTTATTACTGGGTGACCATTAAACCTATTTTTCCAAAACTATTTCTCTTCCCTGTAATGATGGCTCTTTATCCTTTATTGAAAACATTATTATTGTAATAGAGATTTTTCTCTCCAGAAAAAGCAAGATCAATAAAATCCTTTCCCATATGGTATACTTGGTCAATTAAAAAAAAACCCAACACTACTTTTCCACTTCTCTGAGCTCTCTGCCTAAAAACATGGCCAGTCCTCTCTTTCTCTATCCCTGGTTCAAGTTCCTGTCAGATAACCCCTTCTGGTACCCTGGATACCTTCAGAGTCTCTAAGACTGCCTTTACACCTAAAACCCGCTCTAGCAAATATACCACAGCTGATTTAATTGGACCAGTATTTTCCTCACTGCTGAATCTACCAGTATCTTCTTTTTTATACCACATGAGCTCCATGGTCCAGGTATTTTATATCATTGAAAGCTCTAAAAGGTTTGTCATCAGTGGTCCACAGTATGCTGTACTGTTGCCTCCTCTGAAAACACCTCTCCCCTTTAATGTCTTTTTCTGTTTTATTTTGAAACGCTTACTTCATTCAACCTTCTTTTCCTGGCTACTCTTCTTTTTCTTAACCTCCTGAACATTCTCATTCCTCAGGGTTCTATGAAAGCCTTTTTTCATACTACCTAAAAGCCCTGGAAAATTCTACTCATTACCATGTTGAAGGCAGTCATTAATATTCCTTGTTCAATAAATCCCAATTCTCTCTTTCTACACATGGGGCATGATTGTACTTCCCTGACTCCTGACCATAGCTGGAGCCATTTAACTGCTTTGGCCAATGAAATGCGACCTATATTGCTCAATGGCAGAAGCCTTAAAAGTCAGTATGTCATATTTTCTTATCTTTGTGGTCATGGTAGTATATATTTCCAAAGTGGGTCCCATAGGGACCATGATGAGCAAGCACTCACCAGCCTGAGTCAGAGAGGGAACACATGGAGGAGACTGTTATATAGTAAGCCACTGAAGCTTGGGCATTTTATTAGACCAGTGTGACTTAGCCTCATCTGACTGGTGAACACTTAATGGGAACCACCAAAATATGGATTTCCAGTTCAAAATACTCTGCTGACAATGAACTCCAGGATGACATTAAAACTGACCACTACAGCAATCAAGATCTGAAGCATTAAATAGCTATCAGAACTTAGTGTTAAGGATGCTTCTGCTTCCTTTTCAAAGAAACTCAGATAAATGATTTTCCTTTAAAATGTTTGTTCTTTTGTTTGCACCAGCCTTTCTTGAAGTTCAAATTTTGCAGGTTTACTAAGCTACACAAGAATACTAAGATGTAGTCTTTAGAAAGTAATGTCTCATAAACAGTAAGCAATAATTTCTGTCTTCCCTTATATAGTTAGGGGCAACTGTCACATATTCTTTTTCAATAAACATATATCAAGAGCAAAACTTTCCCCAAATTTGTTTTTTTTGGTACCGGGGATCAAACTCGGGTCCTTCCACTTGCGCAGCAGGTGGCGAAACCACTGAGCTAAATCCCTGGCCCCCCAGATTTGTTACTTTGAGCCCAACTATAACATGTGCCAAACCTTATTCTGAATTTTATTCTTATAAAACTAGCAAACACCCAGAAATATTTAATTACATATACAAAGGTATATAATTCACTCCTCTCTTAGATTATTCCTTAATTTACAAAAATGTTTAAATGTCGAGCCTAAGAAATACTTCTAAGGAGCTTCACTATCAAGTGTTCTCTCTCATGAAGCACACACTCCTCTCTTTGCCCACGCAGTCTCAGCTCTGCGGCTGCATCACCCTCTTTTGGGGGCTGCCATGTGAATGCATAACTTCATGTATGGAAAGTTTTGGAAACATGCCCAGTGCATGCAAGATGCTTCAGAAGCCTCAGCTATCACTGTCTTGATTCTGGTTAAAAGGGAGGATGGAATACTGTTAAGTTCCAGAGAGGGGCCAGTCTGGCTGAATGAGGCATTTTACACCAGGCTGTGAAGCCCCTAAGAGGCAAAGGGTTTGAATCAAATTCTGTTTATTTAAAAAAAAAAAAAAAAAGCTCCAAAGCTCCAATGATGGCCTTGGTAACACAAGGAAATGCAAAAGGCTACTTTTTAAAGATAGGAAAGATGGAGAAAGAAAGACAAGGGAGATGGATAGAGAGGAGGAAAGACAGGGTGACCAATGAGGGTATATTTAAACTACATAGTGGCACAGAGCACAGTACCTTGAACAAACTAGTTGGTATTTCTAGACTGGAAATAAAAGTTGCATTGAAAAACTGTGGTACTGAAAACATTTGATTTTACAATAATAATAATGATAATAATAAAATGTAACATCTATTGAGCATTTGTCACATAGCAAGTTCTTTTCTAAGAGTAACGCATACCTTATCTTTTTCTCAACAATCACGTATGTGCACTGTCTGCATTTTATAGAAGAGGAAATTAAGATGGAAAAGTCCCCAAAGGCCAAATACCTAGTCATTGGCAAAGCCTGGGCTCTTACCCAGACAGTGAAACTCCAGTGCCAGAATTCTTAACCACAGTCAAAAACTTAACAAGTCACTTAAATTACTTTCAAAAAAACCCCAGGTGAAGTGCACAATACACAAAGGATTCATATATAAGTGACAGGATGGAGACTGAATCAAAGAAAAAAAAATGCCAAGAAATAAACTGAAGAATAAAGTGGAATTTTAAAAAGGGTCAAAATAAATGGCAATATAGATTCTTCATGCCTAAAATTATTAATTTACCCTTGGGGAGGTCTGAGACCGGGGCCAACAGCAGCCCTAACAGGGCCCTCCCTGAGCCTGGGACGATGAGTTCCCAGACAGCACGGCTTCTTGTGAGGGCAGACTGGGCAGGAGATGCCAGGAGCCCGCCTCTGGGAGGGGCCTGGCTGATGCCTCCTTAACTGGGCCCTGGAACAGACTCACAGCCTGCAAACTAAGTTGAATGACTGAGGTGAGGCATCTCGTGCCAGTGCCTCATAACCCAATTCAGACTATTCCCCCCCATCCTAGAAAAATAAATTAAATGTACCCTCAAATATTATCATAAATTTAAGTCCAAAGGTTAAAGAAAAAACCTTTGAACTTGTACACGAACTAGAACATTCTATTTGTTCACATGAAAAAAAAATCATGCTTCCTTGAAAACATATGAATACATACATGATTCTAACTCTCAATAATGAAATAATTTATTTTTAAAAATTGTAACTATTATAGAATTAGTGTTGGGTATATATATTAAAATTAAAGTTGGAATATAAATCTAAAGAGAATTTTCCTTATTATCGCAATTAGAATTTATAGCAAAATAATAGTTGTGTGTATGGGTGTTTTTAAGCACATGCAGGTCACACACAGACACTTAAGATATGCATGTGACTAGCTGTGCGGGGGCCTATGTCAGTTGTGAACCTATGGCACACATGGTGCAGTAGGCTTTTTGTATCACTGGAAGCTCTAAAAGATCTGCCAGCAATGGCTATGCAGTGTCCATTCAAAGAAGACAGCACATGAGGGGTTGGTCTACTGTACCACTGATGAGTTAGTGACACTTGCCTAGTTTTTGAAGAGCTACTTTTTCAATATTTAGCTGAAAAATAGAATATATCTTGTCATAAACATGTCTTCTTAGAAGGATGAACTCATTTCTACAGCTGTGTGACAAAATTTCCTTTACTATTAGTTACTCAGAATGAAGCATAAATCCACGTGAAGATTGTTTGTTCCAGTTAAATACATAGATGCTATTTCAAATAAAAATGAGTAGAAGGAACAGGAAGAGCTTTTCCTTACCTACATGTAAGAACACACTGTGACTTCATGTATGAACAGAATCATCTGTACTGACAATTCACATTAACTTTGTTCTGTAATTTAATTTACAAACATGTTTGCATAAGTAAAAATTTTAGGAATATAATTAAGCAGTCTTGAAAATTGAAATCTAACTTTTAGTATGCTTCTGAAGTAGAAATAAAACTGCTTTAACAATATAGCATTATCAAGTCAAATGTTACAAAACATTAATAGAGATTTCTTTGCTTTAAAAATAAACCATCAACATAAGACAACGAATGCAAATTATAAAATGATGAGAAGATGAGAAGTTGGAGACCCACATTTAATTGTCAAATTATGTATCTAACAATGCAAATTCAAGACAGACATACAGCTCTAATAAGCCAGGGGAAGATGCACTTTAAAATTCTTCAGTATGAAAATGCTATATAAATACAAAGAACACATAAATTATCAGCATTTTTGAGTCTTTTGTCCAGGTCATATAAAATTGCAGTGAGAATGAGCTATTCAGAACTACAGAGACTTTCTTACTGAAAAGAAAAGGCAAGTTCATTAATGTAGTCACTCCTTAGTCTAGCCTACCTTATTTTTTGGATTGGATGTGTTCATTACACTTCGAGTCTCTTTTCCAGTATAAATGACAACACCTATTACAGTACCTGCAAAAACATGAAAGTGGTCCTTATAGAAATACCTCAAAGGAAAGCACAGATAACACTAATTGTCTTGATGAAAAATATATTACATTACTTGACTTTATATACATTTATCCAACAGTCTATTTAACTTAATTACTTCAAGAAAATCTAACATCAAGCTTTTGGTGGACTTAGAAAAAGTGAAATGATTTGTTAAATAATACAAATTTACCCACATACATCATTTAAAATGTACCAACATTCTTTCCCCTAACAGGAGAAAGTGTAAGGCAGGCTTTTGGTTGCTATCTACTGGAAACAGTGACTCAACACTGGTATTCCATCAAGAGTCTGTGTTCTTAACTGATGGCTGCATTACGAGACCTCCAAACCCATGGGTCTGGGAGAACAAGCTCAGAGCAAAAGTCTGCTTCCACTGTACGTCAAGACTGTAAGAAGATCTGCTAAATTTCATTTCAGGTACATACAATCAAAACAATAGGAAGATTCATTCAAATCTTTTGATTTCCCATTTAGATGCTCTTTCTTTTATTCATGTCTTTGAAAGTTTGGTTTTTAAATTTTTATGTGCCAAGAAGATATTATACTTTTTAAATTTAAAAGAATATCAAAACATTCTTAGATTGACCCATTGGTCACAAAGGATCACTCATCTCTGGACTGTCAGCCTGTAGTCCCAGCACTATGGAAAGCTGAGGCAGGAGGACTGTAAATTCAAGTCCAGCCTGGGGAATTCAACAACTTAGTAAGTCCTTGTCTCAAATAAATGAATTAATGAAAAATAAATGAATGAATAATAAATGGATAAATGAGTAAATGAATGGATGGATGGACACACAGATGGGCAGATTATGGACACAGCTCAGTGCAAAGGCCATGGGTTCAATCCTCACATATGTACCATAGATTCCTCATACTGCCTGTAAGATTTTTACGTCAAAGGGGAAAGAATGATTATAGTGAGACTGTAATCTTTGAAATTAACAACTACTTCAAATTTAATGATTATACAAAGTCTTTGATTTCACATGTGAAATTTAGCAATAAGTCAGAATCTACAAAGTAAATATGAATCATCCCTCAGTTTATTAAGAGCACTGACAATTACATATCATATAACTTACAGCTTTCTCTCTAGCAAGCTCTGAAAAATGGAAGATGTGAAAGTATTCCTCAACAGTGGTATGTGCAGAGGTTACATGTTTTTTAAAGGAAAATCATGTTTTCTATTCTTTTTCTTTTTTGCTTAAATTCTTTCATTGGTACATTTTAGGTATACAATACGTTTACATTTATCATTGGGTGCTTGTACCTGTACATGATGTATCTTGGTTCTTTTTTCCCATTCTCTGTGCTCCCTCCACGCCCTCCACCCTTCCCTATTTACAAAGACTTTGTTTCCATTTTTTCCTTTTCTCATAATTTTTCCTTTCCCTTCTTTCCCTTCCCCTTCCCCTCCCACTCCCCCTACCCCTTTGGACCTTTTCTTCCTATTTTAAATTATCAATTATTCGTTTTAATCATTTTAATCCTTATTTACACTTTCAGTTTCTCACACTAGAGAAACTATTCGGTATTTACACGTGTGTCCTATTTATTTCACCTAATAGTATGGTCTCAATATGCATCCATTTAGCTATAAATGTCTCTAGTTTCTTGTTCTTTACGGCTGAGTAGTACTCCATTTTATAAAAAAAACACATCTTCTTTATCCAGTTTCCAGCTGATGGGCACTTGGGCTGTTTCCAAGCTTTCGCTATTACAAACTGTGCCGCTATAAACATGGGGGCACATATATCGCTGTGGTATGATTCTATTAATTCTTTGGGGAAGATCCCCAGCAGGGGAATAGCTGGGTCGAATGGGACCTCTAGCCCTAGTTCTTTGAGGTATCTCCATACTGATTTCCACAGTGGTTGCACCAGTCTGCACTGCCACCAACAATGGAGAAAGGTTCCTTTCTCCCCACAACCTCACCAGCATTTGTTATTGGTTGATTTCTTGATAGCAGCGATTCTTTCTGAGGTGAGGTGGAATCTCAGTGTTATCTTCATCTGCATCTCTTGAATGACCAGTGATGTTGAACATTTTTTCATATGTTTATTTGCAGCTTTTACTTCTTTGTCTGAGAAATGTCTGTTCATTTCAGATGTCCATTTTTGAATTGGGTCTTTCAATTTGGGGGGAAATGTCTTCATTTTTAAATTAGGTATTACCACAAAGGCTATGAGGCTTCAGTTTGTCAAAGGCATGGTCAGCACATACATGGCATGTAATGTCATCCAAATGTAAAAATGCTGACCTTATATATTATTATCTGTGTAAACTACCTAGATGAGATGACTACACTTAAAAATATTAAATACATAGTGATGCAATACCATGAAAAGCTTTCAAAAAACTTATTCTTTTAATGTTAAAAGAGAATAAAGTAAAATGTTAAATATGATCTGATCAATATTTTCTTACTGTTTGCCAATTTAACTTGATCAAAATGTAAAAATGCCACTAATGTTGAATAATTACAATTACATAAGGCAAAGTACAAGATTAATTTATCTTTTAACATTAGCAGAATGATCAAGCCTCAGAGAAAGAAGTCTTCATAATAACTGATCAAGCTAAAAACTCCCTACAAGCCCAGGCAGATTATGAACAATGTGGATTTTAGCTGGCAGTACAATTTACAGTATCCTAATTAATGTGAGAAATGGCATAACAAAAAAACATAGCATTCATAGGAAGTATTTTACAAAATGACTGATGCTATATTTGTATAATCTATTCATGTTTGCTAAAGGTTCTCATATGTATTCACTCATTTGGTTCTCTCAAAAAATGAGTACTTACTGTAATTAGCTTAAATGCACTGTTTTGTGCATCTGTCTTGTGATTTTTATTACTAAAATTGCTAGAATCAGTTCAGGAGTATATGTAATATTCTCTATTCTTTTAGACAAAGGTATGTGTTTATGGCTAGGAGAGCTTAAAAGACTGAATAAACCCTGTATAAAGAAATGTGGGAAGCCAGGCATGGTGGCGCACGCGTGTAATCCCAGCACTTGGGAGGTTGAGGCAGGATTGCCACTGAGTTCAAGGCGAGCCTGAACTACATAGTGAAACCCTGTCTGAAAAAAATAAATAAATAAGTTAAATTAAAATTTCAAATTAGAAATATCAGAAATGAGAAAGTTTCCAATTGTGAAACTAAGACATGAGAGGACAGGACACACTCTTGTACCACATCAGAAAATGGAAGAATTAACATAATAAACAGAATGTTTTAAGATTTCCCAGCAAATATTTAAATGGAAAAATTTTAAGACTTTATTCTATATTTTAAGTATAAAATTAAGCTCCCTTCTCTCTGCCTCCAAGTTAGGAAGCTTCTATTTCAAGAAAACATAAATTCAGGAATGTTTATATATTAAAACCAAAAACTCCAAGAAATAATAAGTACCAAACACAAAAGTCCCTAATGGTGACAGTGATATAATATTTGTAATTAAATAAAAGTCTTAGTTCAGTTTTACCAAGAAAACATTTTTTAAAATTTATGAGTAGTATATAATCTTGAAAGCCAGTGATTATATTCACCTGACACATATTTAAATACTTCAAAATGACTACAGTTAGGGCCGGGGATTTAGTTTAGTGGTCCCGCGCCTGCCTCACAAGCGCAAGGTCCCGAGTTCAATCCCCAGTACTCCCCCCCCCAATGACTACAGTTAGTTAAAAATCAACAGAAAAGGATTCAGATGCTGGATGTCCCAAACATAGCATACTACTAACTAGATGATCAGGCCCTGTGACTGGCTCTTCAGGATGAAACATAAACATCACTTATGAGGTCCATTTGCATTACTTCAAACTTCAGTTCTATCAGATTTTCTATCAGCTATTAGTATGCATGACCTACTTATTACACACTATTCAGAAAATTTCACAAAAACCTGACCAACTTCTAATTAACAGTATAGTATTATTGTAGGCAAGTAGCTTTTCTAATACAAACTAATAAAAAATGCTGACATGGTTACCATTAGAGTGAAAAGGTATTCTTTTCTATATTTAATTTGAATGATGACATAATGTAATATAGCAAGACTGACTACTCTTAAGATTTTAAATGATCACCATATTGTAACACTTTCAGTTGGTATCTTTTAACCACATATATACGCTGAATTTACTTATTATCAAACTATCCTTACAAATTCAAAGTCATTGTAGATGATTCACAAAAAATTATATGTGAATAAAGTAAAACCTACATAAAAAAAGGTTTAATGGCTTTAAACTACTAGATCAAAAAATGCTTACTTAAAATTTAAAAAAAAATAAAAAAGTAAATACATATTTTGTCTGTGTATAAGAAACAGAGAGCTGTCAATCAAAGTATTTACTATCAGAACCTGATAGATTCTATAAAAAAAGTTGTCAGTACCAAGGACACCAGGCAGGTACTGACCACCACTGACAGATGCTTTCCACTCCAATCCTCACAAATGTCAGGATCCATAGTGCTCTCTGATGCAAAGCTTTCATATGCTGGGCTGTGCCTCATAGGGAAGTGAACAGGCACCACAGAGCAAGGGTAAAAACACCATCTGTCACATAAAAACTAAGTTCCAAGAGCAAAGTGACCTGAGGAGACAACAAACAGCCTCAGGAAGTCAAGTACACCAAGGTTGTGGACACAGAGTAATAAAGGGACATAAACCAGGTCTAATGTTCACACAGCCACAGGCACAGACAAGGACACATGACACTTGCCCCCAGGCATGGATTTCACAAGGCTGGAGACACAAAGAGGTGCATGTAAGATCTGCCCCCAGGTCTAAACTAGACATAGTCCAAACTATAGACCATAAGAAATTTGCACAAACCAGACCTGCACCCAGGTGTGGACACCACACAACCAACAACCAAAGACAGAGACACATGACAACTATACCCAAGTGTGAACTCCACATAGCTGGAAACACAGAGGAACGCATGAGACCTGAACCAGGGACAGGGTCTACAAACCATGGACAGATGTCAACAGGGGAATAGCAAGCTCTGGGCATAATTCTCATGTCCACCTCTCAGGCCCACACAAGCAGCATCTAACTTTGTGTACCGCCCAAGATCTCAGTTTACAACCCTTCTTCCTGGCAATTTCTAATATTCTTGGCATTATCCACATGCTCTATTGCCAAGGCCAGTTTTTGTGCTTAATGACAGTTTCTTGGGATTGATTCTTCAGGTGACTTCCTACTGGGACAGAGCTCTCTTCATTTCAGTCCTTTCCCTTTTTAAAAAAATTTTATTGGTGCATTTAAGGTATACAATATAATGACATTCATCATTGGAAATGTGCACCTTTACATAATCCATCTCGGTTCTTATTTTTTCCTCATTCCCCTGTCCTCCCTTCAACCCCTCCCTATCTACAAAGACTTTGTTTCCATTTTTTCATTTTCTTTTTTTGGGGGGGGGTACTGGGGATCGAACTTGGAACCTTGTGCTTGTGAGATAGGCGGCAGAACCACTAAGCTAAATCCCCGGCTTTTTTTTCATTTTCTTATATTAATTCCATTCCCTTCTACCTTTTCCCCTACTCTTTCCACTTCCCCTTCCCTTTGTCCCTTTTCTTCCTATTTCACATTATCTATTATACCTTTTAGTCCTTATTTACACTTTCAGTTTCTCACACTAGAGAAATTATTCAGTATTTACACGTGTGTCCTATTTATTTCACTTAAGAGTATCGCCTCAATGTGAATCCATTTAGCTATAAATGTCTCTAGTTTCTTGTTCTTTATGGCTGAGTAGTACTCCATTTTATAAAAAAACCACATTTTCTTTTCCAGTCTCCAGCTGATGGGCAATTGGGTTGCTTCCAAGTTTTACCTATCGCGAATTGTGCTGCTATGAACATGGGTGCACATATATCACTGTGGTATGGTTTGTTTAATTCTTTGGGGAAGATCCCCAGCAGGGGAATAGCTGGGTCAAATGGGACTTCCAGTCCTAGTTCTTTGAGGTTTCTCCATACTGATTTCCACAGTGCTTGCACCAGTCTACACTCCCACCAGCAATGGAATAGTGTTCCTCTTTCCCCACAGTCCCCCCAGCATTTGTTATTGATTGATTTCTTGATAGCAGCCATTCTTTCTGGGGTGAGGTGGAATCTCAGTGTTGTTTTTGTTGGCATCTCTTGAATGACCAGTGATGTTGAACATTTTTTCATATGTTTATTTGCAGCTTTTACTTCTTTGTGTGAGAAATGTCTGTTCATTTCAGATGCCCATTTTTGGATTGGGTCTTTAAATTTGGGAGGTCTGATTTTTTTAAGTTCTTTATAGATTCGAGATAGTAGACCTTTGTCTGAGAAACAGCAGGTGAAAACTTTTTCTCATGTTGTGGGTTGTCTCTTCCAACTGTTGGTGGTTTCTTTTGCTGTGCAGCAGCTTTTTAATAAGAGATCCCACTTGTTGATTGTGCTAGTTCACAGGCAACTGAGGTTTCGTTCATAAAATCTTTTCCTACACCAATGCCATCAAGAGTTCTACCTAACCTCTGTTCCAGCCGGTTCAGTGTTTTTTAAAACATTTAGATCTTTAATCCATTTCAATTTTAGTTTAGTGCATGGTGAGAGATAGAAGTCTAGTTTTAATCTTTGGCAAGTTGAAACTCAATTTTTCCAGCACCATTTATTAAAGAGGCTATCTTTCCTCCAGTGAGGGTGTTTGGCTCCTTTGTCGAAGATGAGGTGGCTGAGTGTGTCGAGTTGTTTCTGCATCTTCTAATCTGTTCCACTGGTCCTCAGGTCTTTTTCCTTGCCAGTACCATGCTGTTTTTATCACAGTAGCTTTGTAGTAGAGTTTTGAGTTGGGGATTGTGATACCCCTCCCCCACCTTGTCTTTACTGCCTAGAATTGCTTTAGCTATTCTAGGTCTCTCTTCCTGTTTCAAATGAATTTTTGGAATGTTTTCTCAAGGTCTGTGAAGTGTGCTGCTGGAATTTCAATTGGGACTGCACTGAATCTATATAGCAGTTTTGGAAGTATGGCCATTTTCACTTCAATCCTAATTCTTAATGACTGTGGAAGGAATATTTTATCAAATGGTATGTAGAAAAGGGAGAGATTTCATTTTGAAAATTCCATTATGACTACTACTTTTGCAAAATACAATAAAAATAAATCCAGAAGAACAAAATAAAAACCAAGCAGAAGAAAACATATACTCCAGTTTCAACATTAGTAAACTATGTACAACTGCTAAAAGGTTTTCAAATATATATTCTCAATTTATCTGTTAATCACAGTAACTCCTTGAAATCCCAATCTGTGTAGATTTTCTTCTGCCCTCCTTGAGGGCTCTGTCTTTCTACTAGACTCTTGGCAACTCCGTATCAGGACTTGATGAGTCTCTTAGAGAAACAATGTTCTCTGAATCAACAGGGCAGATGATGGACATGGCAGCATAGGAAGTTCTCTTTGTCCTCCTTGGTTACTCATTGCTCTATGCCTTTGTGTTTGAATCCTTACTCCTGTATGTTCACAACTGTATGAGGGGAAGAAGGCCCAAGTTCACTTTTCCTTAAGAGTCATCTTGGGGATGGGGGTGTAGCTCCTCAGTAGAACACTTGCCTAGTTTACATGATGCCTTGGGTTTGATCCCCAGCATCAAAAAAAAAAGCCTACCTTAAATACCTCAGGACATGGTGCTCTGGCAATAGACCTTGTTAGTATAACTCACATGATCATGATTATCTTTTCCAATAAAGATAAATATGCATTAAAAGATCTGAAATTAAAGGAAAAGTTTGTATTTTACAGATATCCAAACATAAACTAACATTAAAGGCATGTTTAGTTAACCTTTCTAAGTGGATGCCTTATACAATCTCTCTCTCTGAGAGAATCAAATACCCTGGCACCGAACACTCTAAGGTCTTAGAAAGTAAGAAAGGGTATGACAAATGTGTTAAGATGCATAAATTAGTGTCTGTTATCAAAGTATGCATTAGGAGATAACACGTGCCAAGGTCATCCAGACATATTAAGGTCAGACTAGAAAAACCATGTTTAGGAAATTATATGGGCTGTCTCACAAGCTCAGTTCTGTCTCTTCAAAGAGAAAGGCTACAAATCAATAATACTGAGGATCAGTGATAACATTCTAATATGTGTTTAAAAAGGAAACAGAGAACAAAACACCAAACAAAATTCATTTTAAAAAGAGAACCTCCTAATATCTTATAAAATGGTCCTTAGTCTAAAATAATATCATGCTGAATACAGAAAAATTTAAATTTCTGATCAAATATAAGCTTCTATGTCCTATACTGCAGATGTTTTCTTACAAATTGTTAATTTTGAAGGCAGTGGTTTTCTAAAAAGTTGAGCCTGGACTCAAATCCTGGTCCAGGTTCTGCCTGGCTCTGTGCCTGGCTACAATAATAAGTCTTTTGGTGCAGATCTTTATCCAGGAGCAAGGCTCACTGAATGCTAACAGGTCTAAACAATCCATGATTGTCAATAATGCAAACGCAACAGTGATCTGAAGCAAGCTTGAGTGTGGCCCTGGTTGTAAAGCGCCCTCTCTACACTGCAAAGACTCTTCCTGTGGTCTCCAGTATCAGCCCTTCCTACTTCTGAGGCCTCTTCAAGTACCATCCTTACTTCCTTCTTAAAAAAAAAAACATTTTGAATAACTAAAAAGATGTGTGACAACAAACACATCAAACACCTCAGAGAATTGATACCTATTAGGCTTCTCATATTTATCCTCATCCTTCTTTAAAAAATAAAACATTAGGATAAAAGCGAACTCTCTTTCATATACTATCCTAGAAGGCAAATATGTGTAATCTCTCAGGAGTCTGTTGTACACTTTAGCATACAGCAGGCACTCATTCAAATATGAGCACACAGAAATGTACTCCTGTGTCTGACTTCTTCCCTCCCCATGGGCTAGGCACCCTGACGCCTAGATCCTCTTCTTCAGGATGTTGTGTTTGCTCAGTAACAGACCTTCACACAGTTGTCCCTTTTGGCAAGAATAAACCTCACATCGTTCCTGCTATCCATCTCATTTGGCGCACATCATCACTGTCAACTACCTCTGTGGAGCTTCAGTCCTGGTATCAACATTAATGTCAACTCATTTCTGCTGAGATTCATTCCTAATATCCTCATCAATGCCAACCTATTTCTGATAAGGTGATAATTATTTACATTTTCAATATACCCCATAGAAAATTACTTGCAAAACTGTCAATTTAAGCAGCTTCTTTTTCAACTGCGGACTCTACTATCTTCTAATTTCCCTTACCTAAAATTCAGAATTTTTAGCCCAACACTAAGGCCTGACCTGATCTATTTCTAACTGGCCTGCCAGGCCTCATCTAATACTTTTCTCTTCCACAGTCACCACAATCATTCTCCTCTTCTTGTCTGTCAAGTAAATGAGAAGCAGGTAAGTGCCCTCGAAATGATCACTGGCTCTCTTTTGTCACCTCTCATTAAGCCATACCAAGAAGTGCAGAAACACGTATCAACACCCAGAAAAAACAGTCCTGTGCTTTTCCATGAAGGCTGCATCACCACTGCCTCCTTTCAGCTACTCCAGGTATCATGGATGAGCAGTAGCACAGGCCTGGCCAAACTCTTAGGAGTGTCCCACACCTAGTCAACTGGAGGTCCCTATATATTTCAGGGAATTTTGAGATAGGTAGGCAAGCCCTATCTTTTGAGAATTCACATTTGAACAACTTCTTTTATACCTGATGCAACAACGGTGCTTGCCCACAGTGTGTTTTCTATGCTGAGGCTTTCATGAACAGGAGGGTCACTGTCTTCCTGTTGGAGAAGAAAAAACAAAATTGGAAATTTAGTGACTTTTTTCTTATTATAGATGCAGAAATATGTCCACAAAATGGATCCAAGTGAACAGCAGTAAAAAGTCAGTGCAAAGTACGAATTTAAAATATACATATATTGGGCCAGAGATTTAGCTCAGTGGTTCCACCACCTGCCTAGCAAGAGTAATGTCCTGAGTTTGATCCCAGGTACCAAAAACAACAACAACAAAAAATAAATAAAATATACATATATTAAAAAATTAAAGCTCCATCGTACTTACTTTTATTATTTAATTTTAATATAAACAACTTTAAATTTTTTTCAAAGCCCTGTTGATGTTCTGATATTTTAAGACAGTGTGCTAAAATATGTCAATTATGTGGTCTGACAATATTCCTGGAGTAAGAATTGCTGTCCTAGAAAGCTGGAAATTAGCAGGACAGGCACAATCACAAATGAAATCACCAACGGTTATTTCTTGTGCATGATAAAATTTTCTCTCCATATCTTTTGTCAATGACAAAGGCTTCACTCTTCAAGTGTCTGCTCGTAACAGTAAAAAATCCTTCTGTGAATACCACTGTAATACATATGCAAGAAGTCATTTCTTTTAAATTTTTCTTTAAAAGTATTCAATTTGATATTTTCTTTAAAATCTAAATATAAGCTGTATGTTGCCAATTTTGTATAGCTACCAAACATAGCCATACAGCAATATCATAACAGTGATATGTAGAATTTACTTTTATCTTTACATTTTTGATATTCACATCCCAAGATAAAACTTTAATTTAAAATCTGAGAACTTTGTCCAGGCGTGGTGGTGCACTCCTGTAATCCCAACACTCAGAAGAGAGGCTGAGGCAGGAGGACTGCTGTGAGTTCAAGGTCAGCCTGGGATACATACTGAGTTCAAGTCCAGTTTGAACTACATAGTGAGACCCTGTCTCAAAAAAAAAACCACCAAAATAAATAAACCTGAGAATTTTCATCTTAACCTAAAGTCATGGTCCATATTTCAGTTTGGCCCTACTAGAATAAAGGATTAAAAACTCCACAGCCTTGGGTCTAACAGAAGCAGATGTTTCTTGGATGCTAGTGGTAAAACTGCTACCAACGGGAAGCTAATACATATGACAGCAGATTGACCTCAATATCTGCATGAGGTAAAAAGCTGCATGTTGCCCCCACTGTTAGGATTCTCCCTTAAAATGATGCCACTTCCAAAACAACTTTATTTCATTATAATTTGATAATTTGACATCAAGATATATTTTAAGATAATGAAATCAAATGTGAGGAAAAAGGGAAGAGACTGAAAACATATTTTCCAAAATAATCTGCATGTAAGAATTGTTTATGCCATAGGTCTTTTCTTTCCATATACTTAACAAGTTATCTTCAAATGATAATCAGTCCTAGCCATTTTGCTAACTACCAGAACACACATGCTACATATCTAATAATCTAATTTACTTGTGGTACACAGAACTGTTTAAATCAATACTAATAGCTTCCAAAATATTTCCTGTAATCTTCCAATATTTACAAAGTAAAATTACTTCAAACAAAGTTAGTTTGGAGAAATAACTTGTCCCAGAGCTGCCTGTATCAGAAATCATCCTGCATTCCAGGGACTATGTTCAGATCTGTGTCTCCGGACTGTATGGGTCTCTAACATTTTTTTCTCTCTAGTACCCTAAGAACCACGTACACTGACCCAAGACTTGCCCTTAGTGTCTCACGATTATGAACATGAAGACTGCCAATAAGTGTTTCATAGATAAGGTGCTGCTTCTTTAAACAGAATTATTAGAAGAACAAAGAAAACAGAATTCTATACCTATGCTTTGGTTATATCATCTGTTAATACAGGAGTTCATTCAACTTATTCAAATATGTACTCAGTATTTTAACAGGTATCATGTCTATGTTGACATGTATTCAAGATCTTAACAGATAGCTTGCCCCATTTTAGCATATATGTAGTATCTTAACAGACAACATGCCTGTGTTAGAAGCTATAACTGTGAAGAATGAAGGCACAGCCTATCAAAGTAGTCAGGGTTTAATGACACAGCAGCATCCTAGGAGTAAATACTAAGGTGGGCAAAAGTGTCATACAGCAAAAGAAGAAAATACAAAAGGTGTCTGCATGTGGGACTTGAGCTCAGTCTAGAAAGTACAACCTAGTAAGTACATCCAATGACAAGTTATCACCTATATCCCCTCTAGTGTGCAGCCACTTTCTGCTTCCATACATACAAGTACTTTTAATTTTAAGGTCCATCAGGAGTTACTTCTTTCAAGCGCTGTTTCTCAAGTAAAATATGCTTCACTTAATAGTTATAGCTTACCAAAAAAGCTATTGATAATTATATACTAGAATCAACAGACAACACACTAAGGAAATAAGATTTTTAAGTGGAAAATAAGAGGCCTATATTATCCCAATATAAATGTTAGTGGGGGGGGGTGCGCTGCAGGGACATGTCAGCAATATTGTGCATTTGTTAGGTTGCCAAAGCTATAAATTTTTATTCTACTTATATAATCTGATAGCAATGGTGGTAGCATGTTTACAAAATTCTAAGTATATCTGGAATCAAACTGAGCTCTTTGAACAGAACTTCATATGTCATGACTAGTCTTTAAAATGCATAAGAATGTTTGAGGACTTTACTTCTGTTTCTTCAGTAGTGTTGTCGGTTCTTCCACAGACAATGCCAGGGAGGAAACTGCCTCTTGTTCCCTTGTTTATAACTGAAGTAGCTCTTCAAGGGAGAAACAAACACTGTCTGATCCTGAAATAACTGATCCAGAAAAACTAAGTTTTCCCTTTGACTCTTACAAGAAAAAAAAAGTCAACATTAGAAGAGAGAAGTAATCTATTTTTTTCTTTTTACTTGAATGTGATTGAATGGAAACTACCAATTTTTGAATCATTCACATAGTCTTAGTTAGAGCATTACTCTGATAAATATAACTGAAGAGAGAAAAATCTACAATCTTTACTCTTATTTCCCAAATATGGTCAACATGAATATCCTTCAATTTTGTATTGGTCTAGGAGTTCCAGCAAATTCAATGTACAGTTGGCATAAATAGGCCATTTGGTGATTCATACATGTATCATTTAAGATAAGGGAAACATTTTTGTAAATGAATTATTAGTTATTCATACTGCACCACAGCAATTTCTATGTTTATTGGTTAGGATTGTAAGCCAAAAAACTACAGAATTGACATTTACCTTTCTTGCACTGAACAGGTAAATTTGTCCAACAAATCAATAATCAAAGAGCAAACTTTAAACTCCTCTAATTTCCACAGGAATGACACCATCCATGAAATCCAGTGCCTGCTGCTAACCAAGCCATGTACTGCATTTTTCAAGCTACCTTTCCTCCCATCCCAGCAGCTGCCATCTTCAATTTACCACCCAAATGAATGCAATTTCATTCATTTACAACAGTTTCCAAGGCTTTCCTTACCCAGAAAGTTTTAAAAATTATTTACACATCCACTTTTTAGTGTAATATTTTCCCCTATGTCAACACCAAGGAAAAGATATTAAAATGCATAAAATTTTTATAAGGCTTCTGAAGTACAGATAAATGTTCTATACAATTTAGTTTTAGAAATTTAAGTTGCTTCTCATCACTTTCTGTAACCATTTAATGGTGTGAATGTTTTTTGTCTATGTGTTGAAGAATGCACAATATCTATGAATTTTTTTCAATTCTGTAATAGCAATGATAGACTCTAAACCTTTTCCTAATATCAAGAAAATTATTCTAAAAGATAGTTCTTTACCAATCTCATGCAGTATGGAATAAAGATTAGGGAGATGAGAAAGAAATTATCTCTAAATAACTTTCACTTTTAATTTCTTTCTCCTTAAGGTTATAGAATTTGAAAGGATCTGCTTGGGGGTAGAGCATACAAAATGTTTCAATTTCAAGCTGTTCTCTCAATAGCGTACTCTATTCAACAAACAATAGGGATTTGCTTTTTAAAGAAGAGTATTTTGATTGGAAAAGATAAAACAATGTTAAGTATGCTTTGGTTTGCAAAGAAATTTCAGCAGAAAATGCACTCAAGAAAGATTAAATAGGAGGATAATGTTAAAGAACTAAGGATAGAGAACTACTAAAACTTCAAGACTGGCTAGTTTTAGACTCAAGACTTTCAAGACAATGCCCAGGTCTTGAACAATGTGTGAGATTAGCATTAGCAAAGACTATGTGAATCACCACTCGAAACACTTCACAATGAGGTTATCCTGATGCCATGTGGAGAGAGGCAGAAAGAGGCATGACTCATAATGTGCATATCTGTGTCAAATTTTGCACAGGCAACAAAATGTAGAATGTTTCTCCTGCCACAGGAGCTGTGCAGAATTAACTGGCTCCGATAGTTAAGTACTCAAGTTGGCCCCGGCAAAGGTATATTTTCTTCTTTATATTATACTATAAAAAAGGAAAGTAAGCAAATGTCACTTTTTAACAATATTCAGTTGAATTTCAACAATTAAACTGAATTCCATTTTCCAGTTACACTAGTTATTTAACGTCTTTTTCTATTTAAAAAATGCACCCAAAATAAAGATTTTTCATCTTGAATAAGATGAGAAAAAATAAGCCATTAGAAATGTTAAACAGGGCAATGAAAGATCATTTATTTGAATTACATCCTATAGGAACTTGCAATAACACACACAAGGTAAATGTGTCTTAAATTAACTTAAACCTCTAAAATAAGTTTCTCTCTCAGTTGGAGCATATCCTCCCACAGTTCACCATTGTTTCATCAATGTACATCACTTGCAGCACTTTCATCTGTGTTCTGACATGGAAGGATTCCCACCTGTCTCTGTTCTGACATGAAATGATTCCTACCTTTATGGAAATACCTCAGAGACATAAATCACCAATAGGACAACTGTAATTGCTTCCCACATCCCTCTGAAACGAAACTCAGGTTATTATCTATCA